ATGCTATGATAAGTGTGTGAGATAGATAGATGATAGATAGATTAGATGGATAGATGATAGGTAAATAGATGATATATGGATGACAGATAAATAATAGGCAGACAGACAGACCAATAGATAGATAGATGATATACAGATAGATGATAAATAAATGGTAGACAGACAGGTAGATAGATAGATGGTAGATGATAGCTAGATGATAGCTAGATGATAGATGATAGACAGATGATAGAGAGATGGTAGATAAATGATAGGTAGGTAGATGGATGATAGATAGATGATAGATACATATAGACAGATGATATTTAAAGAGCACCTTTGTGGGTGAGAACATGAAATAGAAGTGTGACTGTCGGGGCTGGAGAGATGGCTCAGCGGTTAAGAACACTGGTTGTTCTCGCAAAAGACCCAGGTTAGAATCCCAGCACCCACATGGCAGCTAACAACTGTCTGTAAACTCCACGCCCAGGGCATCCAACAGCCTCTTCTGACCTCCATGGGCATTGCACGACATGAGTGGATTTACCTACGTGCAGGCAATACATGCATACACATAAAATAAATAAATAAATAAAATTTTTTAAAAAGTTAAAAAAATGAAGTGTGACTGTCACAGATATGAGGTCATGTGACTTTTGGCTCTAATTCTAGTTCCCTTGCATATTAAATTAATGTGAGTTCAGGTAAGTCAATTGAGGGCTAAGCTCTGCTTTTTGATTCTCTGACAAGGGTGTAGGCATTCCTGGGTGCTCCGTGGGGTTTTTATGAAGACACAATGAGACCAAGAAACATCAATCTAGGACCTGGCCCATGGGAGGTACCAAGAGATGTTTCTCTCTCCCAGGCTGAACCTACTGACTTGAACTGAATCCCAGTGCCTACTCTGCCTCGTGCTCTGAAATGGGAGCAGATGCTGAGGCGTCCTTCAATTTTCCAGAAGTAGAGTATACAGATAGCCCAGACAAAAGCAGGGTCTAGTCTGGGACCATGCATCTCTTTACCTTTGGAGAGCTTGTCTACCTGATATTTTTTTCTGACAATGACTTGCACGATGTCCTCAAATTCTGCATGAGCCTAAACAAATAAAAAGGAAATCAAAGGAAGTTGGCATGATCTTGTGATGCACTAATCCAGGGTCTGTGAGATGCATGATGGTTTTAGACCTCCGGCACTCCCAAAGTCCTGTTTTCTGTTCTGCCATCCTGTCTCCCAGATGAGGATGCTGTCCCTGCCCTGAAATCGCTCTCAGGGCTGACCTGCTGTGTCCAGCCTCTGTCACCTATTTTATCTGGCCTGCCCACGCCTCTCTCCCCATAGAGGTCTTTCACCTCCTACTTTTGGGAAGGCTCTCACTGGTGGAGCTCTGCCAGGGCTGTGGACTTTGGGACTGGACATGTGATGAGAATCAGAGGGCTCTCTAAGCCTCCAGTCACCACACTCGATGTCTCTGGCTGATTTTTTTTCCTACATCATTCCATCTGATATATCTGATCAGACTGATCAAATCACCTCAAGGTTTGGGATGCAATATTCCTGACCAAAGGGCAAAAACTGAGCCTGGCCAGCCTTCCGGTGTTCCCCTTCCTTACAGTCTCTGTTTTCTCTTTTCTCTCCTGCACTTTGGCTCTTCATAGTAATCTTCTGCATCTTCAGGTGTTCATGTTCCCAGATGCACTTTCTGTGCCTCCCCGCTATGTTTAAGGTCATCCTCACCCTGTCCCAACCCTAAACTACAGAGACTCATCCAAAGTTCCCATGTCTTCTGCTTGAACCACTAAGACATGAATAAAGGTACTGTCTTCGGTCCGCTGCTGGGAAGAAGGTAATGGACTACCTGCATCTAGGAAGAGGATACCTGTCTGCCTTTGCCTCAGCAAGGGCCCCCTGCTCTGTGCCTTAAGATGAGATATTTAGTCTCCCTGAGCCTTATATAAAAAATTCAAAAGCTACAAAACCATAAAGTATTTGCTGCTCCCCACCCCTTATAAAGTTCTTTCATTTTTTTCCACCTTAAACTAAACATTCAGAAAGCCCTGGCTGAATATATGGAAGAATAAGGAGATGTTTGTGTGGTGAGCTGGAATAGGAGGAATTAGGGTCTCACTTCTGAGTTCAGCTCCTGGTATAAGCAGGTTTGAACAAATCACTCAAACTTCCTGACTTCCCATGGCCGTATCTTGAAAATGCAAGAAAGCGAATTCTTTTCTTTTCCTCTTGCCATGGATGGCAACGGGTGGAAAGGTGAGGGGTGGGGATTGAACACATGATTAGGCTTTATGTGCTGTGAGCTCTTGTGCCAAGGCCAGACTCGGCTGCTGCGGTGCCCTGTAGTGGCTGGCTCTCACACTGCTATCCTTTGTTCTCTGTGAATTTGTACGTAAAAGCACACATTTATCCATGAATATTCCCACTGTTATCATTCATAGTGGCAAAACATTCTCAAGCAGGCAAATGTCCAATCGTGGGTAAGAAATTTGGATATACAAATATAATAGGATATTTTTCACCAGCCAAAAAGGAAGAAGGGAACTTAGGCAACATCATGCCAAGTGATAGAAATCAGTCACAGGGGTCACATATTTATGATAACCATGGTAAAAATGCCTGCTATAAGACTCCAAGTAGATTAGGGGTTCCTTAGAGAAGGATAGGGGTTCCTGGGGGGCATGAAGAACAGAGGTGAAAGGGAAGTGTGTATGAATGAAAACAGGTGTCTTTAATAACCTGTTTTTCACTCTGAGGCTGGAATCCAGGGCCTGTGCATGCCAGGCAAGTGCTGTCACTGAGCTATACCTCAGTTCTTTTTTATTTATTTTTGATAATATTTTAATTTATTCTTTGAAATTTTCACATATTTATACAATGTGTTTTGGTCATATTCATCCACCACTACCTCCCTCATCCTGTTCTTCTTAATATTCTTTTTAGAAATATTCTAAAACTCATTCTGTTGATGGCTGCACAGCTCAATGAATACACTAGAAATCATTGAAATATACACTGTAAATGGGCATATTACAAGGTATATGAATTAATTCTGATGAAGTTTTTTACATATACATGTAGAGAGAGAGATGTATACTTTCAAGACACAAGTCTGGGCATAGGGGGGCTGTGAAGATGGTTCAGTGGGCAGAGTGCTTGCTATACAAACATGAGGACCCAGGTTCATATCTCTAGTCCCTACAAGTCAGGTGTGGTGATGTGCCTCTATCATCCTAGTTTGGGGGGGTGGTGACAGGGACGGTCAGCTCTTGGGACCAATTTGCTGGCCAGGCAGTCTAGCTTAAATGGTGAGCTCCATTTTCAGTGAGATACCCTAGCTCAAAAAACAAGTTGGAGATTTTGATAGAGGAAAACACTGAAATTGACCTCCCTCCTCCACACATACATACAGAGTCACACATACTTCCTCTCATGTACACACACATGCATACATGCATATACCTCTACACACACACACATACACACACACACATACACACACACACACACACACACACATACACACACACGCAAACCAAATTTGGGCTGGGTAGTTGGTAAAATCGGTAAACATAAGGATGTGAGTTTAATTCCCAGAACACACATAAAAAAGCCAAGCATGATGGTGCGGGCTTGCTGGGGAGGTGGAGACAGGAAATCCCTGGGACTTGCTGTTCAGTTAGCACAGCTAAATTGGCCGCTCTTGTCTCACAACAAGACAAAACAATGGAACAAATACATACAAAAATAAATCAAGGTGTAACTGACTGAGGAAGACATCTGAAGAGGAACTCTATTCTCTACACACATGTGCCCATGCATCCATACACACACACACACACACACACACACACACACACACACACACACATACATATAAATATAAAATTTTGATATATTTTTTTCTTTGTAGGGAGTTCCCTGGAATAATGTGAAGGTTGGTTTTACCTTCTGACTTTGTTTACTTCCTGTCACCACTGTGAAATTGTTTTCTTTGTTCTCTTTACTCAGGCCTACCCTTCATGACAAGCCCCCTCAGTGGCTGCTGCCATTGGCTCCCTTCTGCTAGGGCACCTTTCTTAATGAACTCTTTTCCTCCTGTGATATGTGTCATGAGAGTGGAGAGCCACACCAGCTTTGCTTCAACTTGATGCCTCCAATGATGGACATAATCTCTAATATAGAAAAACAGATACTTTTGAATGAATGGCGAGTCACATCACAAAGGGGTCTTCCTTAAGAACCTTTCAGCGTTGAGCTCTAACATATCAATATTAGTGAAGGGTTTGTTTATATCTCTTGGGGGCTGGGACGTTCCCCTGCATTTAGCCTCTGCGACAGCTCAGTCAGGTCACAGGAATGGCAGGATGCAGGGCCATTATGTACCTCCAGACCAACCAGCCCCCAGAACCTGTCCTCTTTATCATACATCTAGCCTGAAAGAGAAATGATAGCCTGGGAAAGAAAGGGTGACGGAAAGGCTGAAGAAGTAGAGAGGCCCAGTCATCACCAGTAGGAAAGTCAGGAAAGAAGAGATGGTTCAGAAACCATTGCTAGCATGTGAGAGCGAGTCCCCAGGGTGTCCCTGACTCCATTGGTGGCACTGACATGGACCTGCTACCCGCTGTCAAACGTGCTCACCCCCTGCTGACCCCGGCATTGCTCGGCCCCACTCAAGCCTGGTTTCCCAGCTTCCAGGAGGCAGTGAGAAAGAATTCTTGGCTAAGTAGAGACAGCCAGGCCTGGAGCCTAGAGGTCCACGTGACGTGAGCCCTCGAGATGCTCGGCTGCAGCCACCCCTGCAGAGAATGGGGCTATTGAGCTCAGAGCTTCACTCCCCAGTTAGAAAATCCCCACCAGGCAAAGCCAAGAAGACACCCCCACACACTGCATCATTAAATTATAACAAGCCCTGAAACTCGCTCCAGAAGACTGGATCTGCCTGTCCTTGTGCTCAGAAGGAAGCTTGTGATTGGCTAGCTAAGCTCAGCCTAGCAGCCTTATCTCCAGCTGGTTATTATTTGATGAAAGAGTCTTCCTCCTCCTCCTCCTTTGCTGTTGCAAAACCATCCTGGGGGCGCTTGCTCCTGCTAGGGGGTGGCTTTTCTGAGGTTACTACAGAGCACCCAAAGGCCTCCGGCCTTGGACCACACAAATAGGCAGGCACCCAGAGGAGCTTTTAAATCACCCATGGCCTGGAGCCTTCTTCTTCAGAGTCTGGACCAACCTTGATAATCAGCCTAGTGGAAATAATTCTTCAAGCAGCACAAGCCAAGAATACAGGTATTTGAGCAATTGGGAGTGTGTGGGGGGTGGGGGAGGGTCGGGTTAGAAGAATGTGATGGCATTGGACATGGGGACAGAATGAGTAGGAAAATGAGTGGGGCACAAGTCAGGCAGGTGCAGGTAGAAGAGGCAAGTCTAGGAAAAGAGAACTGGAAGTCATGGAATTCTACGGAAAAGCAACGTGAGCTCTGGCTTGGGCAAGAGTTGTTTGCAGCTTGGCTCGAGTGTAGGGAGTGTTTGTAGTCTGACTCTGGCCTCTGAATTTGTTTGTTTGCACTTTCTTGAGGTCTAGCTATTCTTTGGACATTCACATAATCTATTACCCTGGCTCAGGGAAAAAGCCAATTGCTTTTGCTTAAAACGCCATTAAATTTAATTTGCTATTGGGACACAGCCTTCAAAAGCTCTGCTACATGATAAGAATCCATTCGTTGTATCCATGTTCTGGCAACAGAGAACAGAACATTGCATAATAATTTAAAAACAATTTTTTTATTCAGGGTTTCCCTGTAGCCCCAGCTGGCCAGGAATTCACTATGTAGACCAGGCTGGCCCCAGTCTCACAGAGAGCCACCTTCCTCTGCCTCCTAAGTGTTGGGATCAAAGATGTGTACCAACATGCCTGACCTTAAAATAATTAAAAAAAAAAAATGAGCAGAGACTAGCAATCACTTTGTGTCCAAGTTTGTTTTCCACTTTGCCTGAGATCTGTGTTTGATGTGTCCTGTCTGTTCCCATCTCACTATAATTCCAGCCCAGCAGTGTTTTCTGAGCTTAGGTGGGAGGACTTTCTCCTACAGATGAGAACTGGGCCCTGAGTTGAGCCGGCAAGATTTAACCAGCCGGGATGAAGATGAAAGGCAAATGAAAACCCAGTTTTTAGGTCAGGCTTGGAGGTGGCTGAGGAGGGAAGGATACGATGTCCAAACAAAGGAACCAATTTTAGTGTAGTGCTTGAGATGGAAAGCATTCTTTTATGGTACTTTGGTTTTCTTAAAACTGATTGTTTCATGCACATTAATGATGCTGCAGGTCAAGGAATACAATAACCACACCGATAACTTTTCGTGGTCACTGTCTTTATTCCCAAGTCTCTTCCTGTCTTCTCAACTCTCAAATGTTTGGATCTAGATTATCTCTACTTTGTTGTCTGTGGTGGGAGAAGATCATAACTCTGTTCCATGTGGTTCTCTAGAGATGGAAGTCTCTCCTTCTTGCTCCCTACTCTGTGGGTTCCCAAGGAGCTTCCTTTGTTGGGGCCCCATTGACTTTCCTAGGAGTCCCAGAGCAAAAGGTATGAGATTCATTAGAGTGACTCCTGTTCCCATTCATGATTTTAAGGGATGTGCTGAGAGGTAGAGGGTAAACCACTGCAAGGGTTTAACCTTCTGACCTGATTCTCCTCTCCTGTTTGGGGGACATCCTCTCTTCCCCATGACCTGGCTGGTCTGGGTCCTGCTTGACTCTTTGACACTCTCCTTTACCCTTTTCCATCTCTATCTTACCATGTGGATGATGTTTGAGTTCTATGCACCCATCATAGACATATCCTGTCATATTTAATCCTTTCTGTTTAAAGCATCCTCACTTCTCTCTTGCCCTTGGGTCTGGTCAAGTTAAAAGACTAGGTTGTTTTTTCTCTGAGTATATCTACTCCTTCTGCAAGGATTCAGGAGCTATTGAACTTCTCTTACTGGACCGCTCCATGCTGTCTTGTGACTGCTAGTTTCGACCCATTGCCTGTGCTAGACTGATAGCTCCATGGGTACAGAGGGCAGGCCTGACATGCTAGCCTGTGCCTGGAGCACTGCAGTTCTGAGTACTGACATGCAGTACTCAGACTGGTCAGAATGTCTCACATTGATGACGTGCCTCCTGTCTGCTCACTCTTCTAAGTGCTTTACATTGACGAACTCAATCCCCAAGACAAGCTGGGGACCAGGGTGTCAGCCCATTAGGCAGGTGAACAAACTGGAAATAAAGGAAAATGGAGACTTCGGAGTCTGTGTTTTTACTCCACAGTGCCATGGTGGGGCAGAGCCAGTCGGTGAACAGTGCATGAGTGACAGCAGGTGAATGGTAGGAGGTAACAAGTCTTCCACATACTCCATTGGACCTGTTCACGTCTCTGAGATGCTGAACTCTATGTAGGGTTGCGAGCTTGCCTATGAGAATGTGGTAGTGAAATAGTGCAGCCCTCCAACTGAGATGCTTTGGGGTCCCAGCTCCAACATGTGTCAGTATCTAACTTCCCCATCAGCCTGCTTCCATAGACTGCTTTACCCACTCATGGGCCCACCCTCCTACAGACTGAGGGAGGCTTCACATCTGGCCTTGGAGGAAGCTAGTATCGTGGGAATGTTCATTGTCTAAGGCTCTGTGTTTTGTTGTGGTGAATCTCATCCCCTGAAGAGATAGAGGATTTAGCACCATCCTTAGCTTCAGAGGGATTTGCTCAAACTGTTAAGAGCTAGAGCTGGGACTCCACATCTGGCAGGTCTAGACCCTGCCTGGGGCTTTGACATCTGACAGGTCCTTTCCTTGGACCCTTGGCTTTGAGCTTACTGCACCTGCTGATTTGTTCCCCTAACATTCCTGTCAGACAGATAATGCTACCCTGTCTGCCTCCCCTGTCATTGGAGGCTCCTCTGTGGAAGGTTCTCAACCTCCCCTTTCTTCTTTGGGCTGCAGATCTAGTACCTGCCCTAGATGTTTGTAGATCCACACTGATACCTGGAGACACCCCCTCTGAACTGTCCTCAGTTTTAAAGGGACCATTCTCCCTCTCCTCCATTCCCAGGGTCACGTGATTCCAAGCAAAGGGCCTCAGTTTAATGGGCTCTCCTTTCTGTGTTAGTCTTATTAGAATCTAGTAGAGTTTGGAAGTTTAGACATGTAACTGAAGCTCCCCTGGGTATTGAAAAGACCCAAATCTTAGTTTCTTCATCTGTAGAATGGGTGCAATACTTCCCTCTTGGAGTGACTTTGAGAATAGAGATTCTGTGACAGATCTATTGTGTGTGCTGCGCAAGGAACAAAGTGGAGAGGGAGGTAGATAAAACCTCTTGCTCTTGTGGAAGCTCCATTGTATGGGGCACCAGCGCATTAAAAGCAGCTCACAAATAAATAGGTCAGTTGCTTCCGTGAAGAGAACAAAGAACCTGATTTAGAAGGGAGTGGGAGCCAGTCAAGGAAAGGCTCTTTGGTGAAACCAAGAGTATTTGGACCCCTAGTACCCTTCTTCACCTAAAATGAATCAGGGCCTCAGTGTGGGCCAAGGGGCTGGTCACTTTGGGGCTCAGAGTTTGAGAAAAAGAGGGAAAACCTGGATGCAGTGGTTCCTAAGATTAAGTTGCCTGCGCTGGCATCCAAGATGCTTTTGTACATGATCAAAGCACAGGGTGGGAAAGCATCATGTGACTCCCTCTCTGGTGTTTTTCTGCCTCCTGCCTCTGCTGAAGGAGAGAGGCTGGCCCAGGAGGAGAAACTAGTCCACCCATCTCCTGAAAGCCCCTCTCCAGCATGTCCCTGGGGTCTCAGAGGTCCCCGCAGCTGGTGTAGCATTTCTGTGTCCATTTACCCCAAATCCCACAGGTGCAGCCCAGGTGAAAATCCACCCAGGGTGCTGTTCTCAGCTGTGAAGTTCTGAGAAGAGAAGTCTGGATGAGCCTGGAGCTAAGGATTTGGGAGTGGGTGCCCAGTGCGATCCTTGATTGCCCATGCACGCTTCTCAAGCTGCCCACTTGGTGTTCCAGGAGTACCATGTTCCCGTTCTTGGTCTTTTGTGGACTCTCAGGCCAGGGCATTAGGGACAGCACTTGTAAAAGCTGGTTAGCATTTTTTCCAGACAAAGCCAGATGCTGGGGAGGTGGCTGGAAGGTTAAGTCTGCAGAGTAATGAAGGGAGACTATCTGCCTCGGGCTCCTGATCCAAAGGTGATGCCAATCTCTTTAACTGCCTCCCACCTTTCCTGTGGTTTCTGGCAGCATCTCAACTCTTTCTCCAGCTCTTCTTCCTTATCTGGGGGTTCACTTCTGCCTTCCAATAACCAATCCCTGCCCATTGCTTTCTAGGCATAGAGTGCAGAGGGGCCTCCTGTGGGGGGTAATAAGTATTATAGCCAAAGATTCCCCCAAGGAAACAATTACTGGGAAGATGGAACCAGACTGAGATTTCAAGGCACAGACCTCTTTGCACTTGACTTCTGGATTTAAAAATCCTTATTGAATGAGGGAGTCAGAGGGTCAGATGTTGAAAAGAAACAGAGATGCTATGCAAAGAAACATTCCACCAAGAGCATTGCCGAAGAAAGTTGGAATAGCAGATGATACCCCAAGGCAACCTCCACCCTCCTCCTCCACTCAGAAGGAGAATGAGCAGAACCCTGGCAATGGGAAGGTCAACCTTCCCTTCCCAGAACCTGCCAACCCCACATCAGTGAGGTCCTAGCAGCATTTCAGATGTGGAAGGAGGCTCCAGGGTGTCATGCTGGGTGTGCTAATGAAAGCTCCCCATCACAGCTCCTGGGATCCTCACAGCGGTGTCAGGCAGTTCCTAACTTCCCTATCCATCTTCCTGCTTCACTAGCTTGATTAGGAAGCTTTGCTTTGTCTCCACCCAGAGCTGGAATGTGACTATGTATTGGGCATCTAGAGTCCTGCCAGAAACCAGGGCAGCCAAAGCAATAACAACAGGAGCAACAACAAACAGCAAGCATTCCACCTGAGTCCTGCAAGGCCAGGACATCCATTTCCCTCTAGATTTTCTCTCCAGCAAAGAGATGGTTCCTGTGGATGGGAACTCTTGAGAGCTGTTGATAACACTTTGTTTTTTGAGTTCATTCCAGAAAGCAACTCAGAGAAACAAGGCCTGGGAACATGAGAACTTTAGACTTGGCAATGAAAACTAGGGAACCAGGCAGCAGCAGTAGGCTGGATCCTTACTCCTCCCCTGCACTGCTCCTATCTGGGCCTCCACAGGGACTCTGAAGAGTAGCT